GCGCGCCGTGCTACAACCTGCACGAGCTGAGCCGGACCATCGCGGACGACCTGCCGGAGCCGCGCACGCTGGCGGGTGCCTGGCGGGAGATGCGCGCCACCTGGAAGCGCCAGCGGATCGAGCCGGACTACCAGTACGATACGCCGGTGCCCACGCCGGCGGTCGTCAAGCACGCCCGCGCACGCGACGACGACGAGCTGGGCACCTCCATCGGCGACCTGGCACCCGGCATTCTGGCGCGGGCCGGGGCCTGAGCCGGGGAGCGGCAACCATGCACTTCGATCGCGACCACTGGACCTTCGACTGCGAGCCGACGATGACCGACTCGGAGGTGCTGGCGTTCTGCCGCGACGGCTGCCTGCTGCTGCGCGGGGTGGTGCCCGACCAGACCAACCGGCGCGCGCGCGACTGGTTGGACGGCACGATACCGGCCGAGCCCAGCTTCGTCCCGGACGGCATGACGCAGGCGGAGATGGACCGCATCCGCGGCAGCCATGAACCGACCACGATCTTCCTGGAGGACTGGTTCATCGAGCACGTGCTCCTCAACGACCAGGTCGCCGGGATCATGCGGTCGTTGCTCGGTCCCGCGGTCGTCTGCCGATCCTGGCCAGCATGCACCGGGTGGAGTGTCCGGGGGAGGCCGGCGGCTGGCACCAGGACGCCGACTGCGTATTCGGGCCGGAGCTGCACTTCGTGGAGGTGTTCTACTTTCCCCAGGACACGCCGGCCGAGCTGGGACCGACCGAGATCCTGCCGAGGAGTCATCTGGCCAGATTCGACGGCGCAGAGGAGCCCGAAGGCGGTGTGCTCAGCGCCGGCCCGGCCGGCACCATCGGCATACACCATCAGAGCATTCTGCACCGCAGGCCTCCGTCGGTCGCCTCCGGCAGCCGCCGCATGCTGAAGTACAACTACTGGCGCACGTCGCCGCCGCGACGGGACTGGCGTGCCGATCCCGAGTTCGACCCGCGAACCGCCGACTACGGCGGCAACTTCGTGGCGCGCTACGTCGCTCACATGTTGGCGTGGCTTGCCGGCAAAGGCGACGAGTTTCGCGTGATCGGCGGGCAGGGCTGGCCATGGCGGACCGGGAACCAGATCCGTCCGTCATACGGCTTCGGCGCTACCAGTGGCTATCTGCCGGATTGGCGCAAGGGCAACACGGACGGGTACGCGCGCTGAGTCCGGTGCGCCGAGTCGACCTCCGGCTCAGCGGTTGGAGATGGCGGAGTTGACAGAGATCTCCGCAGGTGCGACGCTATCGGGGTAGTTACTTCCTGATACGTGCCGCACCATCCAGCGCGGCGCTACTGTGAACACCTGCCGCGCCGCCAGTTCCTGGCGGCTGCCGACCACTCTCCGTAAGGAATTCCTTTTGCCATCCGTCAACTTCTCCTCTCTCGGTCTGACCGAGACCATTCTGCGCGCGCTGCGAACCAAGGGTTATTCAGCGCCAACTATCATTCAGCAACAGGCCATCCCTCCTCTCCTGGCAGGCGAGGATGTGCTTGGCATCGCGCAGACAGGAACCGGCAAGACCGCCGCGTTTGCCCTGCCGATACTGCAGCAGCTCGCTGCCGCACGCGAGCGGTCCAAGCCCAACACGCCGCGGGCGTTGGTGCTGGCGCCGACGCGCGAGCTTGCGGTGCAGATACATGACGACTTTCGCGACTATGGCGCCGGCCTGGGTTTGCGTCAGACGGTCATCCTGGGCGGCGTTTCGCAGCGTCCTCAGGTGGCCGCGCTCGCGCGCCGTACCGACATCGTGGTGGCGACACCGGGCCGCCTGCTGGATCTGTTCGAACAGGGCTACATTCGCCTCGACCGGATCGCCTTTTTCGTCCTCGATGAAGCGGACCGCATGCTCGACATGGGCTTCATCCACGACGTCAGAAAGATCATCCGGGAGCTGCCTCGCCAACGCCGCTCGATGCTGTTCTCGGCGACCATGCCGCCGGACGTCGCCCGTCTGGCCCAGGAGATCCTGCACCGGCCGAAGCGAGTGGAGGTCACGCCGTCCGCCACCACGGTCGATACCGTGCAGCAGCTCGTGTACTTCGTGAACAGCGCGGACAAGCCCAAGCTGCTTGGCGAGCTCCTGCACGACTCCGCGCTGTCCCGCGTGCTGGTGTTCGCGCGCACCAAACATCGGGCAAACCGGGTCGCCGAGCAGGTCTCCGTCTCCAAAGATGTGCGCCCGCGCGGACAGCGATCCATGTGCAACGCAACAATCGCAGACTGCTCGTCAGGCCGCGCGCTGGAGCGGTTTCGGGCCGGGCATTCGCGGGTGCTGGTGGCGACCGATATCGCCGCCCGTGGACTTGACGTGGACAGCATCAGCCACGTCATCAACTTCGAGCTGCCCCGGAGTCCGAGGGCGAACGTGCGGAGTGGGTGGTTTTGATGCGTGTTTTGTTGTGTGTGTCTGTGTGTGCTTTAGTGGCGTGGTGAACTCTTGTTTCTTGAGTCTTGTGGCGTCGGTGTGTGTGATTTCGGATGCTGTGCACTAATGAGACTAGGAGCGGGTATGTGCGATCCTTTTGTAAGTCGCCCTGTCGTTCTGCGATCCGGCCGAGAGGTCTCAGCTTCGACAAATCGAGAAGCTCATCGGCGTCGCGCTGAAAGTGGTCCAGGGCCAGCCGTTCCACGCCACGGCCACTGTTGGACAATCTGTCGGCGTGCGTACGGGTCGGATGAAGTGGTTGGGAGGATCCTGCCCGCCGCGGGCGCGTACAAATCGATCGGAGCGGTAACGGCGTGCGCAGCGGCGGACCGCGGCGGCCCGGCCGTCGCGTGAGAAAGGGCGCCCCTGCGTTGTTCATCAGCAGGTGCTGGCGTACACTCGTCGCCAGCCGGGGGCGTCACCCGTCCGGCGCGGCGCGTACGTCGAGGTCAACTGTCTTGAGTGCGAGTGTCGTAGTGTCTGCGCGCCTGAGTCGGCAACGTGGAGTCGTTCGAAGAAGGTGCTACGGTGTTGAGGAGATAAGGCTCTGTGCGGGCCGTTGCCACCTGATGGCCGACGCGCAGCGTGCCGAGATCGACGCCAGCGGGAACCAAGTGTACTTGGTAAGAGCCGCAGGGAAGAATCGTGAAGCCCTCTCTGCCTTGTGCTGGTGCGAAAGAGGGCATAATCGTCACCGGATCACGACCCTGAGGAGACCATGATGCTTACCGACCGCCAAGTGGCGCAATTCGATGCCTTCGGCTTCTGCGTGCTGCGCGGGGTGCTCGGCGCCGGTGAGCTCGACACCGCGCGTGCCGAGTTCGACATCGGTCTGGCCAGGGCCGCGGCGGGGACCGAGCGGCGCGGCATCCGCAAGCAGCTCAACTGGTCCAATCTGGGTCCGGACACGCCGTTTCTGGGCTTGCTGCTGGAGGACGCCCGGTTCGTCGGGCGCTGCCGAGCGGTTCTACGGTCAGCAGGTGATCGGCTACTACGCCAACGCCAACTCCTTCGACGGCGATCGAACGGAATGGCATCCGGACACGTCCACGCTGATCAGGCGGGGGGTCAAGTTCGCGTTCTACCTGCAGCCGCTCGACGAGCACAGCGGGGCCCTGCGGTTCGTACCGGGATCACACAAGGAGCCGCTCCACTTCGACATGCGGAAGATCGGTATCAAGGAGTCCAATCTGCGCGTTCTGGACGCCGCCGGACTGGAGGTGGATGAGGTGCCGGCGTACGTGGCGCGGTCCGAGCCCGGCGACGTGATCGCATTCGACAGCCGGGTCTGGCACGCGAGCTGGGGCGGCGGCCACGACCGGAGGATGTGCAGCCTGGGCTACTTCGCCGCTCCGGCAACGCCCGCCGAAGAGGAATCGATGGCGGAGCTGGCGCGGCAGGACGCCGAACTGCTGGAGGCATTTCCGCTGCTGGAGCGGCCCTCGCACTGGGTCGCCAATCCCGCAGGCAGCCCCATGCGCCGGCGCTGGATCCAGGCGCTGCGGCAGTGGGGCTTCGCCGGCCTGCCCGGCTGACGGTCAGTTCGACCCCTTCGGCGTCAGCGCGCGGGCGTCCGCGGCGATCTCGGCAGCGCGGCGCACGGCGTATCGCTCCGTCCACGTACCTATCGGGCCGTCGTCGATCTGGGTGTTGGGCTTGCGCAGTGCGCCCAGGAGCTGGCGCTCGATCGGGTCCCGTACGCGTTCCAGCACTCCCCGGTCCTGCACGACGTAGTCGTTGGGACACAGCCATGCATAGGAGTAGCCCATCATCAGCACCTTCCGGGTCCGATCGGTCAGGTTGAGACCCTGCCGGTGGAACGTGCGGTTCTCGAACAGGAATGCGTCGCCCGCCTGCAGCTCCGGCTCGATTGCATCCGCGGGATCGGTGCCGCCAAGCACGGTGTCCAACGGCCGGTCGAGGTTGTTGCTTCCCGGCGCCAGCCAGGTATTTCCGTACCCCGGCGCCGGACAATCGCTGAAGTGGTAGGCGATCTTGATCTCCATGCGGGTGTTGCCGTGCAGGCCCAGATCCTCGGAGCTGTTGGCGATGTCGCGGTGCCAGTAGGTCGGCTGCTCGGCCGAAGGCGGATCGGGGTACTTGTAGATCAGGTGCGACTTGGTCAGGTGGATGTTGTGGCTGAGCAATTGCACGACCAGTGGGACCGTGGTGTCCCAGGTAAGGAGCGGCAGCAACGCATCCTCCGCGGCGACCACGTTGGAGAGGCTGGCGCGGCGGGCGCCGGTTTCGCGGTAGCGCGCCGCGACCAGGCGGTCGGTGGCGGCGGCGAAGCGCGCCAGCGGCTCCGGCGGGATTGCGTCGCGGACGATCAGGTAGCCGTAGTCGTCGAAGAAGCGTCTCTGTCCGGCCGTGAGCCGCACGAACCGCATCAGGGTCGCCAGTCGGCGCCCAGGCCGGCGTACTCCCTGGCCTGGGCGGGGATGTCCACGCCGACGCTCGTGGACCACGCGCTCAGCAGGCGCCGGTAGACCGGCCCCGGCGTTCCCGAGCCTACGGACGCGCCATCGAAACGGGTCACCGGCACCATCGCGATGGAGGTGGAGGTGTACCAGGCCTCGCTCGCCTGCCGGACGTCATACGGCTCGATGTCGGTCTCATGAACGGCGACGCCGGCCGCGCGCGCCAGCTCCATGCAGTAGCCGCGGGACACGCCGCGCAGGATGTCGTGCGGTTTCGGCGTCAGGATCTCGCCGTCGCGCACCATGAAGAAGTTGTTGCCCGTGCCCTCGGTGACGAAGCCGCGTTCGTCGGTGAGCAGCGCATTCGCGCCCGCTTCGACGCGGGCGGCTTCCAGCTCGGCGAGCTTGTAGTAGATGCGGCTGCGGTTCTTGGCCTTGGGGTCGATGTAGCGCGCCGGCACCGACCGCTGGGAGGTGGTGACGAAGTGCGCTCCCCGTTCGTAGGAATCGGCGCTGCGGCCGATGTGGCGGATGAGCGGAATCACGTTGATGGTCACCACCGGCGCGGTCCCCTCGCGGATCAGCTCCGCGTAGAGGTCCATGCCGCCGCGGGTGACGTTGTGCATGATCTGGAAGTCGTAGTCGCCGAGCGCATCGCGGTTGCGTTCGATCGTCTGCCGCGTGGCGTCCAGCATCTGAGGCTGGCTCAGGCCGCAGTCCAGTTGCGCGTACCGGATCGAGTCGTACAGCCGGTCCAGGTGGCGGTCGAGCAGGAACGGCTCCTGCCGGAACGTCCTCGTCATCTCGAACACCATGTCCCCGTACATGAGGGCGCTGTCGAAGATCGAGATGCGGGCTTCCTGCTCGGGAACGAACTGCCCGTTGAGATAGACGAGACGTTGCGCGGTCGTGTTCTGCTTCACGGCGCCAACTATGGCACGGGCGAGGGATGGGGTTCACGTCTGCACCGGGCGGTGCGGGCGGTGCTCGAGCTTACGGCAGGTGCCAGCAGGATCCCGGGATGCACGTGACGCCGTCATCGTCTTCGGCGTAGGTGGGTTCCTGGCCCCCGGGGCCGAACCGGACTATAGTATGCGGGTCGTGCATCCGCTGCGCGATGGACCGGCCAGAATAGCTCAGTTGGCAGAGCAGTTCACTCGTAATGAACAGGTCGTCGGTTCAAATCCGACTTCTGGCTCTTCCTGATACGCCCCGGTCACGCACTCCGGGGTAACGACCGGACGCGGCGTCGGCCCCCCGGTGAGCGCATCGCCTCCGTGCTACGTTGCGCCCGCCATGCTGCCCCGCGACCCGCAGAGCCGATCGCTGTTCGCCGCGCTGATGCTGCACATCGGCGTGATGGGCGGGGCGGTCGCGGCCATCGGCGCGCTGATCCCGCAGATGATCCGTGATCTCGGCTGGTCGTACACGCATGCCGGGCTGGTGTTGGCGGCCGGTTCCGCATCCTTCGTTCTGTCGACGACGGCGGCCGGCTTCGTGCTGCCCCGTCTCGGGATCCGGTTGACCGCCGCGGCGGGCCTCGGTCTGGAGGTGCTCGGCCTGCTCCTGTTCGGGGCGTGGCCGGGCGTCGCGGTGAGCGCTCTGGTGTACGCCTTGCTCGGTGTCGGCTTCGGGGCGATGGAGGTTAGCGGCAACGAGCTGGCCATCTCGATGGAGCGCAGTGGGCGAGGGCAGCTCATGAACCTGATGCACGCAGGGTTCGCGGCCGGCGGGATCGCCGTCACGTGGGCCACCTCCTGGTTCCTGGCGAGCGGCGGCAACTGGCGGCTGGTGTACCGGATGATCAGCGCCGCGACGCTGCTGGCGGCGGTGTTCATGATCAGCCGTCCGGCGCTCGCTGTCGCGGGATCGGTCCGGGTCTCCGCGGGCGGTACTCACGCGCCGCGGCGCCACGGCGGCCTCCACCGCGACCACAGCCTGGCGCTGCTCATGGTGATTCTGTCCGCGATGGGGGTGTACGTCGGTATCGAGCTTGGCGTAGCGGCCTGGATGAGCGAGTTCATCGTTGCCGCGATCGGGGGATCGGTCGTGCAGGGGGCTCGGGTCGTCTCCCTGTACTGGGTCGGCCTGTGCCTGGGCCGTGTGGGCATCGGCCTCCTGCATCGGGGCACACGCCACGTGGGAGTGATCATGGCGCTGTCGGCGGTCGCCGTGGTCGGGTTGGCGATTACCGTGCCGGCGGGGAGCATGGGGTGGGCCGCAGCCGGGGCCGTCGTCACCGGGGTGGGCCTGTCGGCGCTCTATCCGCTGCTGATTTCGCTGGCGGGATCGGCGTATCCGACCCGCCGCAGTCAGGTGATGGGACTGACCAGCGCCAGCGGCGGGCTCGGCGCAATGCTCGTTCCCCTGGCGATCACGGCGGTCGCCGAGGTGTTCGGGATCCGCCGCGGCATGCTGGTGTATCTGGCACTGGCCATCATCCTGAGCGGGCTGTCGGTGGCTCTCTTGAGGATGACTCGAATGCTCAAATAGTTGGTGACGTTACATGCGAGACAGGGGAGGCTCCTACGTTGTCTCCCAGGGCACGTCGGCAGGCCAGTCGGCGACCGCCTGCTCCGCGGACAGGATGGGCTCGACCATCGATCGCACGCGGGGCCGCTCACACGACCGGAGTTGAGGCGCAGGATCAAAGGCTCCGGAAACCCAGCGCTGCAAGCTCGCGAACTGGGCATAGCTGTTCGGCCAGCTCGCATACTTCAGCGCGATGTACCGGCGAGCCGGTCGTATCTTGAAGTATACGGAATGAAACAGCGTCTGCGAGAAAAGCACCGCGTCGCCCGGATCGGTGTCGATGACGTGGGCGGGGATGTTCGAGCCGTGCTCGCCGAAGAAGATCGGGTCCTTTTCCACATGGCGCTGGTTGAAGGGGAGCAGCGCCTGGTGGAGCGGTGCGCGGTGCGAGCCGGGGATCACCCGCAGCGCACCGTTGTCCTGGGTCATGGGAACGAGGTACAGCATCACCTTGATGCGCAGGTAGCCCAGCTCGGCGGCCCCCGGTCGATCGGCGTGCCAGTGGTGGGCGGTGGGTGATCCTGCGACCCCGTGGTTGCCCTCCGATCCGCAGAAGACGAACCGCTCACCCAGGAGCTGCTGCAGTTTGTCGTACAGCCGCGCGTCGTCGATCAGCGACAGCAGAACAGGGCTGCGCTCCACGAAGCGGTTCTGCTGCAGCGTCGCCGTGGGATCCGGTTGGCCGCCGAAATCCTTGTTCCAGAGGGAGTCGGCGGCCTCGGTGACCGGTCCCATCGTCGCTTCGTCGAACAGCCCGCGCAGCCGGAGAAAGCCGAACGCGCCGAAGTAGTCGATCTGATTCTGCGTCAGCAGGTGCCTGGGTTCCATCGGGGTAGGAGCCTACCGCACCGGCAGGGCATGTCGCATGCCCCGGCCTTGTGCCGGCGAATCTCAAGACCGCGCGGATCCGGCCTGCGCCTGCTAAGATCGCCTGCGACGAGAGGGAGGCACACCGGATGAGTAAGGCAGCCAATCTGCCAGCGGGGTACTGGGACTCCCTGGCACGTACCGTCGGGGCGGCGGTGGACGCCGGCCGGATCGGTACCCCGAGGGCGTTGCGATTGACCGTGCACGTCCACGCGGCCGATCCGGCGGACGCCGTCGATGCGCGGGCGCAGACCGCGACGGCCGCGCGTCGCTGCGCCGCCGCGTGGTTCGGGGGAGCGGCCGACAGCGATCACGGGGTGGGGGAGCCGAACCTCGCCGCGGCGTGGCTGATGCGCTGGCCCGGCGGGCAGAGCGCGTTGCTGGCCATCAGCGCGGGACGCGGCGCTACCGCCGGAAACCTGGTGCTGATGGGATCGCACGGCAGCATCTATCATCGCATCGACCCGTTCGCGACACCTCGGGCGCGGGAGGCGCGGTGATGGCCCGGCATCGGGTGGTGGCGCTGGGCGGCAATCGGAGCCATCTGGAGAGCTACGCGCGCGAGTTCGCCGCCGATCCGCGCTGCGAGCTGGTGGCGGTGGCCGACGAGAGCGACGTCCCTCAGTATCGCGAGGGGTTGAACAGGCTCCTCGCGGCCGAGCTCGATGTGCCGTACCTCACGCTGTCAGAGGCGCTGGCGCTTCCCGGGGTTGACGTCGTCGTGAGCTGCGTCGACATCGAACGGCGCTCGCGCGTGGCGCGGGCGGTACTGGCCCGCGGCACGCACCTCTACTTGGACAAGCCCCTGGCCGGCAGCGTGGAGGATGCGCGGGCGATCGCGGACGCCGCGGATGCGGCCGGGGTGGTCACGCAGATGCTCACCACCGTGCATGCGCCCTGGGCCCAGGAGGCCAAGGCCGCCGTGCGCTCGGGGCGGCTCGGGCGTATCGGGGCGGTCCACTCCGACATGCTGATGGCCAAGGGCCGTCCCGGCACCGTTCCAGCCGCCACCGTCCGCCGCGAGCACGGCTCGGACGGCACGTTTACCCACGTCGCCGCGAAGCGCGAGCTGTTCGACATGGGCGTCTACCCGGTGGCTCTCATTCATTGGTTGACCGGCAGGCGCGTCACGTCGGTCTACGGCGTCACCGGCAACTATTTCTTCGCCGAGCATGCGGCGCTGGGGATCGAGGATTTCGGAGCGCTGCTGCTGACGCTCGACGACGGCACCGTCGCGACCGCCTGCTGCGGCCGCATCGGCATGCCGTGCCATCCGCAGGTCGGCGAGCGCCGCGTCACCCTGGTGGGCGAGGAGGGACTGGCCACCTTCACGGGATCGGACCCGCACATCGAGATCTACAACACCGAGCCGGTCATCACCACCGCGCCGGTGCACCCCAACGACCCGATGCAGATGTGGTCGTCCACGGCGCGGGAGACGCAGCCTCCAGCCAAGGACCGCCGGGTCTCCCTGCAACGCGAGGAGCGTTCGGACATCGCGGCGTTCCTGGATTGTCTGGACTCGGGCGAACGCCCGGAGGTCACCGCCCGCGACGCGTTGCACCACGTCGAGGTGCTGATGGCCGGTTACGAATCGGCGGCTTCCGGTCAGGCGGTCAGCATCTGAGCGGCGTGCTCACCAGTAGCGCATCGCGCTTTCGAACATCCCCCGCAGATCGGCTTCGTCGAAGGGGCGAGGGGAGAGCTTGGTCACCCGGTGCTGCGGCAGCGTGCCGCGGACAAGGACGTCGATGTCGGCCGGCGTGTAGCCTACCCCCGACAGTCCGTTGGGCATCCCGGTACGGCGCATCAGGTCGATGATCGCGTTCGCCGTCGCCTCGCCCGCATCGTCCGGACCGACGCCCGAGACGTCGGCGCCCATCAGCGCTGCTGCCTGCAGATGGCGCTGCGGCTCTGCAGGGGCGGTCCAGCGGAAGACCGCCGGGGCGTTCAGGATCACCGACATGCCGTGCGGGATCATCGGGTGATCGTCGGGGTAGCCTTCGGGGTGGAAGTCGCGCACGTTGCTGGACACCGGATAGGACATGCCGTGCGGGAGGTGGCAGCCGGCGTTGCCGAAACCGATGCCGGCAAAGGTGGCCGCCAGCAGCATCTGCGCCTGCGGCTCGGTGTCGCCGGCAATGGCTGCCGGCAGGTTGGCGGCCACCATTTCGATCGCGCGGGCCGACCAGACGTCGCTCATGGGATTGCTGCCCTGGTACGCGGGCCGCAGCGACGGGTCGTCCGGCGCCGGCCGCTGGGTATAGGGCAGGGCGGTGTAGGACTCGATCGCGTGGCTGAGCACGTCCAGGCCGGTGCACGCGGCCGCCAAGGGCGGCATCGAGCGGGTGTTGTCGGGATCGACGATCCCTACCGTGGGTTTCAGGGCGCGATGCGCGATGCCGGTCTTGGCGTGGAGCCCCTCCAGATCGAAGATCGCCACGCCCGTCGTTTCACTGCCGGTGCCCGCGGTGGTCGGTACCGCGATGAGCGGTTTCAGCGGTCCCGGTACCGGCCGTCCCCGGCCGACCGGGTGGTTCACGTAGTCCAGAAAATCAGCCGGGTAGGTGTGATACAGGTTGGCCGCCTTGGCGGTGTCAATCACCGAGCCGCCGCCGACCGCGACGAAGCCGTCATACTGGCCGCGGTCCGCCTCCTGGATGGCTTCGCGAAAGGAACGGTCGGTGGGCTCGACGCGGACGCGGTCATAGACGGTAGCGTCGATGCCGGCACCACCCAACGATGCCTGGACGGCGGCGACCTGCGGCCCGTCGCGGAGCCGCGGATCGGTGAGGACCATCACCCGCAAGAGGCCCAAACGACGCGCTTCGAAGCCCGTCTCGCCCGTCGCTCCGGGACCGAACTTGATGTTCGCCGCGTCCAGTGTGACGATTCGTTCGAACGCGGTCCGCCGTGGCACCGGGCCGATCATACCGGAGCAGCGCGTTACTTCCTACGCGCGCCGTCAATGCGGCCCGCACGGATGCCGACAATGATGACACAGGTGCGGCGGTTGGGAGTGATGTCGCTTGAAGCGTAAGAAGGCGCGTAAGCGGCTTTCTTCGCAGATCACCCTTGCGCGCGCGGCCGGGGTCCTGGGAGCGGGCGCGCTGGCGCTCGGTATCCTCATGGTGATTCCGCCTGGAGGCGGGCGTGCCCCGGCTCCGCTGGCGAGACCGGCGGTCGAACCAGCGCTGCCCGGCATCGCCTCGTCTCCCGCCACGGCGCCGCGGCGACCGGACACCCCCAGGTCGTACACGGGCCGACGGCCGATGCTGCTCGCAGTCGTGGTCGATGACGCCGGTCACAGCCTTGCTGACGCCGAAGCGTACCTCCGCTTCCCCGGCAAGCTCACGGTGGCGGTGCTGCCGCAACGGGCGTTCAGCGCGGAGGTCGTCGAGCGCGCGAAGCTGATCGGCAAGGAAGTGATCCTCCACCAACCCATGGAGCCGAAGGGTTCATCGGACCCGGGCCCTGGCGCGATCAGGGTAGGCGACGACGAGCCGGCGGTGATCGGTCTGCTGGAACGGAACTTCGGCTCGGTGGTCACCCGCGGCGTGAATAACCACATGGGCTCCCGGGCGACGGCCGACCCGGGCATCATGGACATGGTGATGGCGTACCTGAAGCGGACCGACCGATTCTTCCTGGACAGCCGTACGACGCCGGACTCGGTCGCCGAGAAGGCGGCCGCGCGCCATCACGTACCGTTCCTGAGCCGCGACGTCTTCCTCGACGTAAGCGTGGACGAGGCGACGGTGAATGCCGCGATCGACCAGGGCCTGCGGATCGCCCGCGCGCAGGGCAGCGCGATCCTCATCGGCCACGTCACCAACCGCGTCGTGCTCTCCGTCCTGAAGCGCCGGCTTCCGGAGATCGAGCGGGCGGGATTCGAGCTGGTGCATCTCTCCGATCTGCTGCCGCAGTGACGCCCGGCGCCGACAGGACCCCTCATTGACTCATGGCCTGATCCTGGGCATTGAGACGTCGTGTGACGAGTGCGCGGCTGCGGTGGTTCGCGGCGGGACCGCCATGCTGTCCAACGAGGTGGCGTCCCAGGTAGAGGCGCACCGTCCGTTCGCGGGCGTCGTGCCGGAGATCGCCTCGCGGATGCACATCGAGTGGATCGACGCCGTGGTCGCCCGCGGACTGTCGGCAGCCGGCTGTACCCTGGCGGCAGTGGACGCGCTGGCCGTCACCTGCCGGCCGGGGCTCATAGGGTCGCTGCTGGTTGGGGTCTCGTACGCCAAGGGGCTGGCGCTGGCGACCGGCAAACCGCTGGTCGCCGTGGACCACATCCGGGCTCACGTGTACTCCCCGCACATGGAGCGCGACATCGGCTATCCGTACATCGCGCTGCTGCTGTCCGGCGGACACACCCTGGTGATCGACGTGCAGGGGCTGGACCGCTGGGAGGTCCTCGGCGCGACGGTCGACGACGCCTGCGGCGAAGCGTTCGACAAGGTGGCCAAGCACTTCGACATCGGCTTTCCGGGCGGCGTCGCCATCCAGCGGCTGGCTGAGCGCGGCGATCCGGAGGCCTATCGGTTCCCGGTGCCGTCGTTGCGGAACGCCCGCAGCCGGTTCGACGTGTCGTACTCGGGGCTGAAGACCGCCGTGATCCATCAGCGCCAGCAGTTCCGCGTGGCTCGGTCCGGGCCGGAGCGCGTCGCGGACATCGCCGCGTCGTTTCAGAAGACCGCGATCGACATCGTCGTAAACCAGGCGATAGCTGCGGCGCGCTCGCGAGGCCGGCACCGGATCGTCGCTGCCGGCGGGGTCGCCGCCAACCGCTACCTGCGCCATCGTCTGGCGGCCGAGCCCGAATTCGAGACGTTCTTTCCCAGCCTGGCGCTTTGCACCGACAACGCGGCGATGATCGCCGGGCTGGGCTATCACGTGCTGCATCGCGACGGGCCCACCGAGCTGTCGTTCGGTGCAGCCGCACGCGTTGCCGGCTTTCGCCGGGTCTCGTAGGGAGGGAGGAACCGCGCTTCGCGCTTCCTGCTCCGTTTCGCACCCGCCATTGGTTGACAGAATATAGATTATCGGAACAAGCGGGACCGGCCGGACATCTCAGGGGCTGCGCCGGTGTGTTTCCCTTGGGCCACGTGTGGACTGGCCGACCTTGGAAAGCAGCCAGATGCACAGCAGCGAGGCGCCGGCGGCCGCAAACAGATTGACGGTATTGACGTCGGTGAGCCGCTCGAACACGCCGGCAAGGAACTGATCGGCGATGCCGCCGAGCACGGCGCCGATCAGGCCGATGATCAGCGCGCCCCAGAAGCGGCCCGGGGTCCGCCGGCGTGCCACGTAGAACACCAGGATCGCGCAGCCCATGGCGACCGCCACGTAAGTCAGCGCGACGTTCAGGTACGCGAGCACCTAACGGAACGGCAGATCGACGAGTCGCTCACGTCCGATCCACACTGGCCTGCTGTAGAGTCTCTGGCCGCGATCGAGCCCGTAGCTGACGGCGTATACGACGATGTCGATGAGGGCACCTTGGGCGAGCGCGACCACCGCTGCATCGCTGATGTCGGGATGCTCACTCTGATAGCCGTCGACTTGGGAAAAGCTCCTGCACTCATTGTCGTTGTCCCCGACGCCCCGGCGGACCACGACGTGCTCCTCGCGTCGCCACGACAGTCTCAGAAATGGCTCGAAGTCCGATGTCGAGGAGAATGTCACGTCTAGGAATACGGTATGGGCTGAGCCGGCGTCGGCGGTATCCACAAGTGGGGGCGTAGGTGGTTGTTCGCTGTCGCAGGTACCGTTGGCCGCGGATAAGCGTCCAAATCTGCACTCAGCTCGTTATGATGTTCTGGGTCGGATAGTCCTCCTCTGTACCTATCAGCTTGTAATATATTTCATACCCTCGGAGCGGAAACAGCGTAGAGGATCCGCAGAAGCTCAGCACGCCCGATACGTCCTCCTGCTGGCAATCCAGCGAGGGGCTCGGCAGCGTCGACGAAAAAGGCAGACAGCAGGCGCCGAGCAGGATCGTAGCCAGCACCCCGACGCCAAGGCACCGGCCGGTCGCCGCGGCGGCGCGGGCTCAGCTACCGTCAAGCGCGCCGGTGGCCCGCAAGGAGATCACCCGGTTGCGGGCCAGGACCGACCAGCGGCTGAGGGGGTACTCTCGCTTCCAATCGGCGTAGGCATCGCCCGCCTTCACCGGGTCGCCGCGTTCCTCCTCGAGTCTTGCTATCGAGAACATCGCGCGTGGCGCGAGCGCCAACTCATCAGGGAAGCGGGTCACGACATCGTCATAGATGCTCGCGGCAGTCTCGCGGTCCCCCAGCTCCTCGTACGCGACCGCAATTTCTCAGCGCCAGCGCGGCCAAGTAGCCGGTAGATACTTCGGCCAGCTCCGAGAAGCGATCGGCTGCCTCCTGCCACTCTTCGCGCTCGGCGTGACGGAGGGCCAACAACTGCAGAGCCCCGCTCCGGGTAGCGACTGCTGTGGCGCTCGGCCAGCAGCTCAAACTGCGGGAGCACCTCGCCATCGAGGCTCGCTCGCTCTCGGAGGCAACGGTCAACCAGCGCTGCTCGATCTCTTCGATCAACACGGTCGAGCTCTCGAGCAGCGCCCGGCGGCGACCGGTGACGACCACCGTGGCGATCAGGACGATCGCGACGGCCGCAAGCAGTACCAGCAGGGGCACCCGCAGCCGGGTCAGGATGTGGCTGACGGCGTCGGCCAGACGAAAAGGCTCGCGTTCCTGCGCTTCGCTCATCGATTCGAGATCTCCAGTTCCTTGATCAGGCGCGACAGATAGGTGCGCTGGATGGCCAGTGAACGGGCCGTAGTCGTCTGATTCCAGCCATGTGACTCAAGCGCGCCGTGAATGAAGCGGCGCTTGTAGCCGCGTACAGCTTCCTTCAGGGACTCGCCATGATACGCGTCCCTGGCTTGGTCCCGCAAGTCGGTGCCGAGGCCGAGGTGCTGGGCACCTATCGCGGAGTCCGCGGCGACCACGGCTCGTTCGACGGCGTTGGCAAGCTCGCGCACGTTGCCGGGCCAACTGTGCTCACGCAGGGCCGCGAGCGCCGATGCCGTGAACTTGAGCTTCCCGCGGTCGGAGATGGCGCAGGATCGCTTCAGAAAGTGGTTGGCAAGGGCGACGATGTCATCCGGCCGCTCGCGCAGCGGTGGCAGGTAGATGGGCATCACGTTGAGGCGGTAGAACAGGTCGCGCCGAAACGCCGCGCGTTCGACCAGGCTTTCCAGGTCGAGATCGCTGGAAGCGATGATGCGCGTGTCCACCGTCCGGGCATCACCACTGCCCACCGGGTAGATCCGGCCGTGCTGGAGCACGCCGAGGAGCTTGGCTTGCGTCTCGGCAGACAGGTCACCCACAGCATCCAGCAGGATCGTGCCCCCGTCGGCGCGCTCCAGCCGGCCGGCACGATGCTCGGCACCGGTCGCGGGCGGGTCGTCGGCGGCGCGGCCGAACAGTTCAGCATCCAGCCGGGGTCGGACGGCACCGCCCCGCAGTTGACCGCCTCGAACGGGCCGGCGCGACGTTCCGATACGGTATGGATCAGGCGAGCGAACAGTGCCTTGCCCACTCCGTGTTCACCGAGCAGCACAGCACTGACAGGTCGGTGGCTGCCGCTCGTGTGGCCACTTCCACTTTCGCCTGCATTGTACGATCGGCGGCGATGACTTCCGGACGTATCAAGGCATCCGGTTCGCAGAGAGCACGGCGATGTGGGGAGGCGGCATCATGCTCGTCGCCTGCGCGCTACCCTACCCCGAGTTCTTTCTGCGAAGCAGGTCGCCCAGCGATACGGTGTCATCGCTGCCGTCGGTGTGCGCGTACCGGACCATCTCCTCGCGTTCCTGACGTCGCTGCAACTCGCGAACCGACAGCGCCAGTCGCTGGCTTTGAGGGTTGATCTCGAGCACGATCGCCTGTATCGGATCGCCGACCTTGAGCGCGTTGGATGCCTCTTCGAACGAGGTCTCGTCGGTGGTCAGGTGGTTCTTGCTGATCAGCGCCTCCAGATCACCGTCGATCGTCACGAACACGCCGAAGTCGGTCTTGCGGCTCACCGTTCCGGCGATCCGTGCCCCCTTCTTGTAGGCGCGCGCGAGCGTGGTCCACGGGTCCTCGGTCAGCTGCTTCAGGCCGAGCTTGATGCGGCGCTGGCGCGAGTCGACGATCAGCACCATCACCTCGATCTCGTCGCCGACCTTGACGACCGTCGAAGGGTCGCCGCCGTTCGGTCCAGGACATGTCCTCGACGTGCAGCAGACCGTCGATCCCTTCCTCGATGTTGAGAAAGGCCCCGAAGCTGACCAGATTGCTGACGCGGGCGGTGATGCGCCGGCCGACCGGATAGCGCTCCGCGACAAAAACGTCGTCCACGTGCAAGGAGCGGTTGAGGAGAGGGGCCTATGGCAAGACAACAATGGTAGTGCGTGTCTACCAGGTCGTAACGCAGACGATCTTACACCTACCATAGCTGAAACGATCACCTGACAGAATCTCCTTCGGGTGCCGCACCCGCTTCACCCATGACAGATCCGACACGTGCACCAGTCCCTCGATGCCATCCGCGATGGCCACGAACGCCCCGAATCGGTCATGCAGTCAGCATTGGTTACGTGCGCAGCACCGTCTCGCCTCATACTGGAGAGCTGCTCTGTCAAAGGTGGTCACAGGATCGTCTGCTAAGTGCTTCAGGCTGAGGTTCACCTTCTGCGTTTCGCGATCGAGCCGGATGATCTTGACGGTAAGCGTCTGACCAATCTCGACCAGATCCCGAGGCGACGCGACATGCCCCCAGCGCATGTCGTTGACATGCAGCAAGCCGTCGAAGCCGCCCAGACGTACGAACGCCCGAATCCCCGAATGATGGGGTGAAACGAGCATTGACCGGCGCGCGCGTCGACCAAACTCCGGCACGATCCTCGCGTGTGAGCTCTGATTTGAGACAAGCTCACACAGCCGGTTCTTGATCATGATCCAGCCCAGCTTTCGCGGTCGATCGACGCGGCAGGATGACCACGACATTGGCGCGACCCTTGCTGAACAGTTGCTCGACGAAGAACGAGGTCTGCAGATTCAGGTAGTCGTCCTCGTTGCGGACGCGCATGATGTCGACCTTGGAGAACGGCACGAACGCACGGGTTGCCAGAGCCGAGATCGACTTCCTTCTCGTAGCCCGCCCTGACTTGATCTTCTAGGGCGGACTGATTCACCTGGATCGGCGTCCGTTCCACTCGGCGAACCGCCGCCTCTGAAGCGTATCGCCAGAGGACAAACAATTCGTCTCTTCGGCAACTTGGCGCCGGGAGTACGATCACGTCCACGGAAAGGACCTCCTACGCAGAGCACCACTTCTACGACAACCGGGA